CGGGAGGCGCACCCCGGCGGGGAGGGCGCGAGGCCCGGACGGCGCCGGGCGGGTCGCGCTCCAACTTGGTCCGCCCGGCACCGCCCGCCGCTCGCCCCGCCCCGGAGAGCGAAACTCCAGGCGGGGGCTGGAAGGGGCGGGCTCGGCGACTTCCCGGAGGGCGGAACCGCTGAGGTCACCTCGCCACCTCTTCGCCGTGCGCCCCACCCGGCCGACCCCCGCGAGAAGCCGGCCCGCGCTCTTCGGCGGGAGGGGTACGGGGCCCGGGGGCCGTGGGGTGAGGGCCCTCTCGCGATACTTGCCGCTCAGGCCTCTGTGCCCTCCGTGGGGTCCAGATTGTCCCCGTCCGCAGACGGACACCCACAACCCTCCGCTTCTCTCCAGGCCAGTGCTCCCCGAGTTACCCAGGGTGCAACCGGGACTACGGCCCCTGTTGAAGGCTCAGACCCTCAGATGGGTCAGGGGTGCAACAGGGAGGTGACAAATCTCAAAGATAATCCCTTCTCCCTAGGAAGTATTTAGTAGGGATCCACTTTAGATCGCCAAGAGGGGTCTCCTCTCTGTAGAGTGCGACGTAGGATTCCCACCCCCTGCAGACCCTGGGCTGGCAGCTAAGCCCACCAAGCTGTGTATGGGAGGGCCCGGGACACCGGACAGGGCAGATGTAGTGGGATGGGCCTGGGCACACAATCACAGTGGACCTGCAGGAGCCCGCCAGAGTTAGGCACGAAGGTCACAGGATGTGTCAGAGAGGAGACATGGAGAAAGGCCAGGACTGGCACCCTGGGCAGGGTATTCCAGGGCAAATTGGGGTCAGGAGGGTATGAGGAGACACCTGGTTGTTTTGGGGGAAGGAAACAGCCAGAACAATAGAACCCTGGGTTTGGAGGAGTTGGGGCTCCTTGGCACCGGATGCATTGCCGTCTGAGGAACCTCCCAAGGGTGCGGGTGAAGGGCTACCCTTGACTGAGTGGGTTTGAAGTTATTCGGGATAGTGCTCAGATCAGCTTCACAAGCCGGTTAATTAGATGCTCTCATTTATAGCTAGCTGTTGGGTGAGGGAGGGGCTACATTGCAGTAAATTGCTGGGCCTGGCCAGGATTCCCATGGGGCCAGGTCCATTCTGAATTCCTACCCTGCGCTCCCCAGAAGCCCAGGGATGGAGGATGTCAGGTGGGCACCTAGTACAGGGTGGGGTGGCCTTGATGGGTGGGATTACAGTGGACAGAGATCAGATGTCTGTACAATAGCAGGAGGCATCTGTGTACAGGGAGTGGTGACCCCCCCCCAAGTCTTGCTCGTCAGACACAAGTGCTCCAGTAGTGAGGTGGGGGGCTCCTCGCTGTTGGGGAGAGCTTTCAGGGGGAGCTGTTCAAAGCTGACAGAAGGTTAGGAAGTCTGAGGGACTTGGGTTCTTCATGGAGGAATCCACATAGTTCTAGTAAATAGTAATTCTAGCAGGAGTATTTGAAGCTCTAGGCCAGCCTGGGTTACACAGTGAACTCTAGGCCAGCCTGAGCTACATGGGGAGACTCTGTCTCAACTCCCCATCCCCCCAAACATATATCTAAAATGTAAATTTGACTAGATATCTGTGTATTTTTGTTTGTTTTGGTCTTTTTGAGACAGGCTCTCTCTGTAGCCGTAGCTGGCCTGGATTTGCTATGGAGACCAGGCTGGCCTAGAACTCACAGAGGACTGCCTGCCGCTGCCTCTTGAGTGCTGGGATTAACGGCATGCGCCACCAGGCCTGGCTCTGTTATTACTTAAATCGGGCAACTGCTACTAGGAACCTGGAGTCACACTTCACATAGCTGTGGGGCAGCAGAGTTCTGGCTGCTATCAACTTAGGAGCCCTTCCTGGGGAGGGCCAGTTCCCTTCCCCTGCCTGTTCAAGCAGTTACCCCCACCCTGCCCCAGCCCCTTCCAGGGTGAGCACGGCTCAGCTTCTATAGCCTTAATAATTCCCATCTGCAAAATGGGAATCAGGGCCTATCCTAGGGAATCTATGAAAATTAACTGCAGGGCCTGGCATACTGCAAGGTATCGGGCCTTTACATGGCTGGCCACTCAGATTCTGGAATGTTCTCTCCCCAAGACCCCGTCACTGTTTCCTCTTTATTCCCATCTTTCCTCAAAGGTTACCTCCTTAGCTAGAGTGGTTTTCCCTGATCCCTCCTGATTTGCCCCCCACTCTCCATTCCTGCTTGGCCCCTTGCAGGGAGTCAAAGGTGGTTAGGCAAGGGCATCCCTCGTCCTTTACCAGGACCAGAGTGTCTGTGGTCCTTTACCAGGACCAGAGTGTCTGTGTACACGGATGGATCCTTGGCCCTGCACAGAAGTGGTTGTTCAGTAAGTGCCAGGTGGATGTGGAATGGTGACATCTACCACCCCACCTCTCATCCCTGCTCCTTCATGTTGACCATCTTGTACTGCCTGCAGACCTTGGCCCCTGGCCTGCCCTATGCAGCACAAAGAAGTTATGGGGTGCAGAGACGGTGAGCACGCTGCCTGCAGGGCCTGGCGTCTCACCATGGAGCTCTGGCTGGCCCAGCACTGCTGCTGAGAGAGCCCTGCCGCCTGTCATTCCCAGATCCCCTGCCACTGACCAGTGTGGTCCGAGGCATAGGGACAGGCAGTCGTCACAAAACCCCAGTTGAGGTGGTACAGGCAGAGCCTCTCCACATTCAGGGCAGCCATCTGGCCTGGGAGCTGCCTCAAAGCCCCACCCTGCAACTGCTGCCCAGACTGCTCTGCTCAGGGCTCCTGTGCTTGTGTCCTGCTCAACAGCAGCAGCTGCAGGAGGTAGCAGGGAAGAAGGCCCTGTGCCTGGGGAGGGTCAGGGAAAGCAGATTTTGTCGAAGGCATCTGGTACAGAACATGTCGGCAGCAGGCCTCAGCCAGGCAGGACCGAGGGGCTGGGTTCTCACCTTTTGAGTTTTGTCTAGGGGCCCCAAGTGGGATGTTGCTGAAGAGAGGGCCCAGAAGAGGGAGCGACCCCACCCACCCTGTCTGTTGGAAGACCCTGGGCAACAGGGGATGGACTGCACACCCACACAGAAGGAAGGACTGGGCACTGCATGGATGTAGAGCTCACAAGAGTACTGCAACAGCAGGTGCCTGGAGGAGCACCCAGGGAGGCCTCCTGGAGACCACTCAGCAGAGAGTGGCCCAAACTGTTGGATCTTCCACAAGAGGGTGCCCTACTTGCTCCTGGTGGCCACTCCCCTGCCCTGCACAGCACCAGGGGGCCCAGGATGAAGGTTGGCTGGGTAAGTGACGGAAGGACGTGTCACTCAGGGTCTGAGGGCAACCTCTCAGGTCAGGGATACAGCTGGAGCAGCACAGACCTGCAGGGCCACTGAGTTGGCCCCCTGGAGGCACTGGAGCCTGGGCAGCTGTGGAGCAGGGAGGCCCCTGCCTGAGGAGTGCCCCTCCTCCCCCGGGAGTGAGTCCTTCCCTGGGAACCAACTTCTTGGGTCAGCTCCAGGAAACAGGGAAGGAGCACTAATTTTAGATGCAGACGGCCATCCTGGATCCTGGATGGTTGAATCTTACACCTATCCACTGCAGGTGAACTCTGACCCTTGGATGAAAAAGAAAAATGTCCCCTTTTCACAAAAGGGTTATTATCAACTTGGCCTCTGGGATGGGGGTGCGCAGGGGCTTTGGAGGAGCCTCTGGGGCAGGCTGAAGGGGGAGAGACTGATCACTGGCCGGATGTGATGTTCCCATGACTCTTCTTCCATTCCTGGACACAATAGGGAGCCAGTTGGGACCTGGGTGCCTGGCCCATGTGGGTCCACAGCGAGGCCCTGGCTGACAGCCCTGCTCTGAGCGTCCCCCAACACACACTAGTTCCCAGGGTGACTGATCCTGGACCAGGTGTGCAACCCTGCTCCCTGCCCCTTCTGCACTGGGATAATGAGCCCCCCAAGAGCCTTCCTTCTTGTCCTGGGACATCTGAGAAAGTTAGACAGAGCCACTCCCCCCACCCCATTCCCCGGGTCTGGGGTCTCGGGAGCACGGTGGGGCATCTGAGTCAGACAGAGACACTCCCCCCACCCCAACTCCCGGGTCCGGGGTCTCGGGAACGCGGCGGCAGCAGAGCTGGGCCGGGAAGGGCCAGGTCGCTGCATCAAAGGGGAAACCGAGGCCCGGGGGCAGGTTGGCCCGCTGGTCCCGCGCCGGGGCTCCGTTACCCGAGCGGCCCTGGCCCGGGGCCACCCCAGGGCGGCGCCTTCAGGCCGCG